GCTCATGGTTGAACTTTGGGGAGTCCACTCCTTACTAGCACAGATGATGTTGGATAATGAAACATCTGGAAGAAAGAAAAACCAAGCTCAGAGAGGACCAAGGACTTCACAGTCTTTCTCCCTCCTCCTCCTCCTCCTCTTCCTCTTTCTCTTTCTCTTTCTCTTTCTCTTTCTCTTTCTCTTTCTCTTTCTCTTTCTCCTTCTCCTTCTCCTCCTTCCTCTTCCCCTCCTCCTCCTCCTCCTCCTCTTTGCAAACCCCCTCTCTTATGAGCACTGATGATGTTATCTGGTTGGGTAATGAAATGTCTGCAAGAAAGCCGCCAAGCTCAAAGAATGTCAGGGACCCACAGTTCAACCCTGAGCTACAAATAGTTATTTTATTTATTTTATTTTTTTATTTATTCAATTTTTATCCCGCCCTTCTCCTTACGGACTCAGGGCGGCTGACAGCCTTATAAAACAGATACAACAATAAATACCCAATTTAAAAATAGTCTCTTCTATTAATATCTGCACTGTTTTGGATATAGGCAAATTTATTTATTTATTAAAATTTGATGCTGCACAACTCCCCTGGAAGGTGACTCAGCAGCTTACAAGTTATAAAACAAGTTAAAGAAAAATAATTAAAACATTGAACTACCCAGATTAAAACATTATTAAAATGGATGCTACTTAGAGTAGACATTTTTTTCCCTTGAAAGTGGGAGTCACTAGATACTTACCCATCACAGCTTCTATTTCCTTCATCATGGCCTCCTCCACTTGAGGATGCTCTGCAATCAGCACCAGCATGAAGAACAGCGTCACCGACAGTGTATCCGGGGCAGCAATGAGCATCTCCAGAACACACTGGTTCACGTTTTCGCCAGTCAGCTCACCACGATTCTGCAAAATCAAAGCAGACAGGCCCTGTCTGTCAGTCTCAAGTTTATTGGGACACTGGACTCCCATCAGTGCAATGTGGCACCACAACATTGGAAAGCCGAACCCAGTGGAGCAATTTGCCTTGCAAATGGAAACAATAGGCCAGAGATGTCCAATCTTGGCCACTTCAAGACTTGTGGACTTTAACTCCCAGAATTCCCCAGCCAGCCATGTCCAACCTTGGTCACTTCAAGACTTGTGGACCTTAACTCCCAGAATTCCCCAACCAGCCATGTCCAGTCTTGGTCACTTCAAGACTTGTGGACTTCAACTCCCAGAATTCCCTAGCCAGTCATGCTGGCTGGAGAATTCTGGAAGTTGAAATCCACAGGTCTTCAAGTAGCCAAGGTTGGGCACCTCTGCAATAGGCAGTCTCTGATTCAGTGATGGTACCTCCAGTTAAAAGAATGAAGTAGCAGATCGTACGGAAATAGTTCCACTTAATCTATGCAGGCAATACTGAAGACAGGGTAGTCCTCAAGTTACAACAGTAATGGAGCTTGCCCATCACAGCCTTAACTCATGATGGTTGTAAAACTGAATTTTATAATCCTTTTGGCATCATTGTTAATGGGCACCACAGCTACTCAGCGAATCTGGAATGTGAAGTAAACCAAGGGTTTGTCATGGGTGTAATTTTGCTAAAAGCTAGGGGCAAATGCCAGTTTGGGGCAAAAGTGTCATAAAAAGCAGTCACATGCAAACAACCATAAACTGCAAACAACCATAAACGCAGCCAGGTTGCTGAAGACCTGAAGTGCGGTCACATGGCCTTGGGAACCATTGGAACTTCAAATCCAGGTTGTAAGCACCCCGGTCCCCCCAAGGTAGGTCTGTCAGAGCTTCAAATGGTTGCTAAGCAACCGGTCACAAGTTGAGGACCCCCTGTTGATGGTCTTTGCCTTCTATAAAAGATCAATTTTCTTCCTGATTTCTGTTATGCTGGAAAGCAAGAAGGTGCTACCCGGATTTGTTGTTAATTGTGAAGTTGTGTCCGACCCATTGCAACCCCATGGACAACGTTCCTCCAGGTCTTCCTGTCCTCTACCATCTGCTATCCGGATTACCTGAGCGAAAATCAGCTCTGAAGCAAAATCCATATGTTCCTCCAGCTTATCGGTGGTGGAGAGCTTCTGTCGCTTCTGCTCAATTAAGCTTTCGATGCTTTCTTTCAGGTCTTTCCTGAAAAAGGAGAAATCCTCCTCTTAGTTCATCCCTAAACATCGTTAAGTGCCCTGCTTCATCGCTTCGTCCAGTTAGGAGGCCATATTTTGGAGAAATAGGCCCGGGAATATATATATTTTATGGATATTTTCCTTCCTGAATTCACAAGTGAACACTGAAACAGGCCAAAATGAAATAATACGTTGTGAGCCTAAGAACGTGAATGAAATCGGTCCCAGCAGGGTTGTTCCCAAAGGCGCTTTTGCAAAAGGCAACTGGTTTTTTTTTTTTCCCTTGAGGAAGAAGAACAAAATGTTTCCTCCAAGGAACTTTATCAGAATAATCCTGAAGGCAAGAGAATGCTAACAACCAGATGACCACAAAGAAATACAATCCTTCCATCTCCCTACCACCACCGGATCTCAACTGTCATAATAATAATAATAATAATAATAATAATAATAATAATAATAATAATAATAATAATAATAATAATAATAATAATAATAATAATAATAATAGTAGTAGTAGTAGTAGTAGTAGTAGTAGTAGTAGTAATAATAATAATAATAATAATAATAATAATAATAATAATAATAATACAGTTGGAAGGGACCTTGGAGGTCATCTAGTCCAACCCCTGCTCAGGCAGGAAACCCTATACCATTTCAGACAAATGGCTGTCTAGTCTCTTTTTAAAAACTTCCAGTGTTGGAGCACCACCAGTCGCCTAGCAAGGTGTCAAAAACTTGATGACCCCCCCCCCAAAAAGGAAAAAAGTGATAAAGTACAGGTAGTCCTCGACTTACAACAGTTCGCTTAGTGACTGTTCGAAATTACAACGGCACTGAAAAAAGTGCCCCCCAAGCCACAGCCGAGCAAGACACCTGCCTGCCCGCCCGGCTGCACTCTTCCTCCTGTCTGAGGTTTTCATTGTGAGCATTTCTGTTGAGGATTGGCAGCGGGGATGGGGTGGGGGGATATTTGGTTTTTTATTCCCCCCCCGTCTGCTGGGTGGTTGCAGCATGTTTTGGTCACTTCACATGACCCTGGGATACTGTGACCGTCATAAATATGAATCAGTTGCCAAGCATCTGAATGTAAATCACAAGACCTGGAGATGCTGCAACATTCCAGCTGATCGGCGCTTCTTCTGGGCTCAGCAGAAGCGCCAGGTTCAGCGCTGAGCTCCAGCTGGAGCATGTCGCTGATCCTGGCGCTTCCACTAGCCCTGACAGTCCCAAAGAAGCACCGATCAGCTGGAAAGCGGCACTAATCCTGGCGCTTCCGCTGAGCCCTGACAGCCCTGCAGCTCCAACCATCTCTGGCTCAGGCTTGTGCGGTGCTGCCACCGGTTCAGCTCATTCCCCTCCCCTGCTACCACTTTTCTAGGATGGTCGCATACCACCTGCCAGGTGCCAATGTACCACAGGTGGTACCCGTACCACTGGTTGAAAAGCCCTGCTATAGACAGCCTGATCCACAACTGTATGAATGCTACTTACGCAGACTTCTCGTACTTCTTGTAGAACCAGGAGAACTTAAAGAAAATGTCAGGTTTCAGGAGAAGAGCTTGCCAGGCGTCAAAGTAGTTCTGGATTTTCAGCACAATGGCATGTTCTGAAAGCACAAGAATGAGATAGGCTGAGTCCAGGTTATAAATCCACATTTGAAAAGGAACAGCAATGTTATGGGCTGTACGAGTCATATCTGTACTGATGGGCTCCAGATTTTACTTTTTTGTCCATCATGATATTGTTGTTGCCAATCCTGGCCATCTTTGCCAGGGTTTGCAAAGGGACCCAATGCTAGAAAAGTCTCTTGGAGGCCAGAAGCTACCTCAGGAACAGCCACCATCCCGTCCTAAAAGAGGATTCCTTTTATTCCTCCTCCCATCCATTTTTTGACCCTCCCAACAAGCATCCTGCCTTCACTGCATGCTCAATGAATGTTCTGGTGCCATTGTCTTCTTCGGTTTTCTCTAAAGAAGCATTCATGTTTACTTCGGAAGACCAAGAATTATATTATTATTATTATTATTATTATTATTATTATTATTATTATTATTATTATTATTATTATTATTATTATTATTATTATTATTATTATTATTATTGTTTATATTTATATCCCGCCCTTCTCCCTGCGGACTCAGGGCGGCTAACAACCAGATATATATATATTACCATCAAGAGGGATGCCAAGAAAAAGCTTGTTTGAAGTGTCAAGCATGATGCGTCTCATAAGATTCAGGGTGTTGACATGTTCCAACTCGGTGGTCTCTTTCTCCAACTGGTCAAGGTGTACAACTGCTGATTCAACGCAGATGGCTATCATCCGTACAAGACCCGGTCCAGAAAGGGCTGAAATTTTTACAAATGTCTTGATTATATTTCCCTCTCTAGCTTTCTATTTATAGAAAGATAGATTTGTTGCATATCGTTTGGTCTTAACTAGCACCCAACAGGCCACAATACATTGCTGCCTGAGTTAGGAAAAAGGACATATTGTCATCCCTAATAAAATTATATTCTTATGCAATAGTTTTAAATCAAAACTAATAAAACAGGCATCTTTGAGGGTTACTTGGTGCTCTCTGAGCTTGGTTATTTTCTTGTAGGCATCTCATTATCCAGCTAGATAGCATCATCAGTGCTAGAAGAGAGTGGGGTTTATGCTAATCTTTCTAGCACTGATGATATTACCTAGTTGGGTAATGAAACGTCTGCAAGAAAACAACCAAGCTCAGAGAGCACCAAGGACCCCACAGTTCAACCCTCAGCTACAAATATTCTCTTCTATTCATACAAACATGCCTACTTACAAACATGCCAACTAATGATCATCTAACTATATATCTTTGCTTCAAATATAAGAAGAAAGGAAAACTATGATGACCTATTTAGTGCCATAAAGACCTGTATTATGCTTGAATTGGTGACTTTTCATCCCTTCCTTATATAAAAAAAAAAATAATAGATTTTGTCCAGCTCTAACTTGATGGCTATCTCATTTTACCTAATGGTAAAACTAACCAGGCTCCAAAATTTATCCACCAGGTGTCCTTTAACCGTATAATATTCTTTCTCTTTCTCATTCTCCTTATATACTTCAGTTCAAAAACAGAGCCAAAGGCAGAGTCACAGCGGGAAGACCCAACTGGGTATATTTACCCTTTGTGAAAAATGGACGGATCTCTTTCCAGAGAGTCGGGTTATTGTTAAAGATGATGCCGTTTTCATGCATGCCAATGCACTGCAATCCAGGCTTGCTGCCAAAGCGAGAACTGTAATGTCCATGTTTCATGACGTGGAACATGCTTGACGATCTAGAAGAGGTAGAAGAGGAAGACATTTCATCAAGAGGTCTCGTCTGTTTGCCCAGGGTTTCACACCCCCCCCCCCGAGGTAAACCAGGCGCTCATAACTGAAACAGATCCACGGGGGGGGGGGGATTATCCAAAATGTTGCCCATGGTTAAATTTATGCCGTACTTAGCATCGAGATCTCAAATAATAGAAGAGAATGGGCAAGCTTGCAAGAATTCTCCTCCCAAAGGCTATGCAGCCTTACTTGAACGGACTGGATTTTCTCCGGCAGCATAATATAAAACACACATATCAAGCTCCACCGACATTCCAGCCCAGCGTCTGGGAGAAAAGTCAGGTCTTCAAGGGCTTTCAAAAGAGGGGGGGGGACATGATAGCAGTGTTCCAATATCTCAGGGGCTGCCCCAAAGAAGAGGCAGTCAAGCTATTCTCCAAAGCGCCTGAAGGCAGGAGAAGAAGCAATGGATGGAAACTAATCAAGGGGAGAAGCAACCTAGAACTAAGGATAAACTTCCTGACAATTAGAACAATTAACCAGTGGAACAACCTGCTTCCAGAAGCGGTGAATGCTCCAACACTGGAAGTTTTTAAGAAGAGACTGGACAGCCATTTGTCCGAAATGGGATAGGGTTTCCTGCCTGAGCAGGGGGTTGGACTAGATGACCTCCAAGATCCCTTCCAACTTTTTATTATTATTATTATTATTATTATTATTATTATTATTATTATTATTATTATTATTATTATTATTATTATTATTATTATTATTTTCTTCTTTTAAAAGCTGTTAGTTTCATACTGTTTGAAATCAAATAGCTGGGGTGATTATTATTATTATTATTATTATTATTATCATCATCATCATCATCATCATCATCATCATCATCATCATCATCATCATTATTATCATCATCATCAGCAGGACCTGAGGGTCATCTTGTTCAAGAGGGCCGGTGCCACCGTGGAGAAGTTATACCTCCCAAGTCCTACCTAAGTGGGATAGCAATAGACTTATATACCGCTTCATCGTGCTTTACAGCACTCTCTGGGCGATTTACACAGTCAGCATATTGCCCCCAATAATTTAGGTCCTCATTTTACCAACCCTGAAAGGATGGAAGGCTGAGTCAACCTCGATTCCTGTCAGTGTCGAACTCCAGGCTGTGGGCAGAGTTAGCTTGAAAATACTGCATTCAAACCACTGTGTCGTTACAGATTCCTCTATAGACCCCGAGCATGCCCACACTGCCAGACCTTGTGAGAAGGGCAGAAACTTCCAGAAGTAGGTGCTCCTACAAGTTAGTTGCCCCCATGCCATGTAGGGCTTTAGATGCGACAACTGGAACCTCAAATTGCAACCAAACGCTTACCCAGAGCCAATTCAGGTCTGTTTTTTTTAAAAATTCTTTTCAAGGGCAACCTTGAAAAAGCACATTGTGATATTCCAACTAGGATATCTACCTCCCAATCTAGGAATGGTCCACACGATGGATTTTGGCAAGGGCCTCTTGGCTAGCGCTGCCACCCACTCCCTTCTCCAATTTGCATGGATTTTCACAGTCCACCAAGAATAGGTAATGGAGAAGTTAATGAAAGTGGTAATATATCTGACTATTTTGCCGTGCTCAGATGAGCTAGAAAATTGGCTTCTTGGCATCTGTGTCTGGACGGCTGCAGGCAGCCTTCAAAACTGAATCTATAGAGGGCGATAGAAGCTTAAAAATGTCAGTGCCATCATTTAAAGAGAAAACAAAAACCAGCAGTTAAGTTGAAGGAGGAAAAAATTAAGGGATGAACATCTCAGGGGCTGCCCCAAAGAAGAGGCAGTCAAGCTATTCTCCAAAGTGCCTGAAGGCAGGACAAGAAGCAATGGATGGAAACTCATCAAGGAGAGAAGCAACCTAGAACTAAGGAGAAACTTTCTGACAGTGAGAACAATTAACCAGTGGAACAACCTGCCTCCAGAAGCGGTGAATGCTCCAACACTGGAAGTTTTTAAGAAGAAACTGGACAGCCATTTGTCCGAAATGGTATAGGGTTTCCTGCCTGAGCAGGGGGTTGGACTAGATGACCTCCAAGGTCCCTTCCAACTTTCTTATTATTATTATTATTATTATTATTATTATTATTATTATTATTATTATTATTATTATTATTATTATTATTATTATTATTTCAATTCTACAGGTTTAATCCTACAATTAGCTCAATCAAGAGCAAGGTAAGGACCTAAGCTGAAGGATCTCACAGGCTTTATCGCTCAGCTGTCCCGTTGGCCCCATGTTAATAGAGAACAAAGATTTACTTGCTAATGATGAGCGTCTCTTCTCCATTGATCCAGACTCTCATGAACTCTCCATACATCTTGTTGTAATAATTGCAGGCGCTGCCCACTCCCATCCAGAGAAATCTCCCATGGGAAATAAGGGCGCCGAATCCCATACAGTAGCCAGGTCCTGAAAGGTAATAGGAGGCAGAGAAGGAAGGGAGGGGAGAGGAGAGGTGAGGAAGGAAGGGGAAAAAGAATGGAAGGAAAGGAAGGGAGGGAGGGAGAGAGGGAGAAAGAAAGAAAGAAATAGAGAAAAGGGAGGGATGGAGAGAGGGAGGGAAGGAAGGAAGCAAGCAAGCAAGCAAGGAAGAATAGAGGAAAGGGAGCAGGGGAGGAAGGTAGCAAGGAAGGAAGGAGGAGGGGAGAAGGAAGAAGGAAGGAAGAAAAGAAGGAAAAAAGGAAGGAAAGAAGAAAAAGAGGGAAAGAAGAAAGGAAGGAAGGAAAAATAGAGAAAAGGGAGGGAGGAAAGGGAGAAAGGAAAAAGGAAAAAATAGAGAAAAGGAGGAAGCGAGGGAGGGAGGGAGGAAAGAAAGAAAGAAAGAAGGAATTTTATCAGCAATAAACAAGACTTTAATCATGTACCCTGTGTTCACCCATCTTGCTGAAACATGAGACGTTTAACCAGGGTTTACAGAATAAACCACCTCTTACCAGATTCCCACAAAAACAATAAGCCAGAAAATATGATTTATTAACTGAAATGGATGAGGTCACACCATGCTAAGCCACAAATTAACAAACCATATTAATGCTTATAACGTTGTCTAATTTACAGACATGGCTGAGTTGAAATATAAATGAGGGGTAGGCGTGGGGAACCTATGATTTCTAAATATTGGCAATTAACAGCTTCTGATGACTTCACCAAGTGGACCAATGGTTAAAGACGCCTGGAGCAGGGGTCCCATATGGCAGGGGTCCCAAACCCCCACCTTGTGGCCACTACCAGACCATGACCTATTCGGAACCGGGCCAAGCGAGTGGCTGGCTGGTGCGTATGTGCATGCAGCTCAACTTGCATGAGTGGTGGGCTGGAGAACAGTTCCATGTGTGCGCGTCTGCCTGCTGCTCGCACAAGTTAAGCTGTGCACGTGTGTGCCAGCCCATCTCTCACATAAGTCAGGCTGTGCGCACACACACACATGCACACCAGCCCGCTGCTCTCATGGCCCAGCTCCCCTCTCCCCCACCAGCCGGGCCACCAAGCCATAAAGGTTGGCGGCTGCTGCCCTATAGTTTGGCAAAAATGTCTTCCTTACTTAGATGAAGTTAAACTCTTCCTGCAGTGCATATATAATTCAGGCTGAAAAAGGACAACCAAACCCCCAAATCCTGGGTATCCCGGTATTTCTCAATCTTGAAGATGTGTGGACTCATCTCCCAGAATTCCCCAGCCAGCATGCTGGGAGTTGAAGTCCACACATCAAGTTATGCTGGCTGGAGAATTCTGGAATCCCACACCTCATCAAACTGCCAAGGCTGAAAAACACCAGAGTTCAGCTTACAAATTTGATTTAATCAGAGATGCCAAAACTAACAGTTTGTGCCAGATGCGACTGGCACGGTGGCCCAGGGTACTTCCTTCATCATTCAGTATGGCCAATGAGTCAATGGTCCTAGAATTTTGCTTGTGCAAAATAAAATATTTTTGAGACCAAGGCACTAATATCTGTGCTGAAACAGTGGGAATCCGTCTTCACATAAAGCCGTGTCTGTTCAACATAAAGGAGGGACACTTACCCCAAAACAAGCCCCATATTATTCAGTGGGACTTATTCCTGAGTAGACCCACATAAAACCAGTCGACATATTACTCACGCAAAGGGGGTGTAAGAATTGATAATGTATCATTGTAGGAGATTGGAGCTGCACAAAATGGGAAGTCTCATGTAAGATACAGGTTAGCATCAACCAAGCACAGACTGATTTGCCAATTTGATGTCCACATTTAAAGGACCAGATTACATTTGCTGTGCTAAGTCAGATGTTAAAAAACTCTTAAAAACTCTTAATGTTTTGAGCCCCCCAAAGAGGGATTCAAAATTATTTTGATCCCCTATTGAGAACAACAACAACAACAGAAAAAGCCGTAGCAACTTTATGGATTTAAGAAACAATCTCCTAAGAGATTGGATTTACACCTCATACGAAACTGTGATTGGTTTGGCCACAGCTGGTTGAAAAAGCTAGCATTAGCTGACTTCACAGAACATGCGGTACCACTAATCACGGTTTATAAAACACAAGGACTGGATTCCAACACCCGTCTAAGCCAAAACTTAATTGGTTGTAGGCCCCCAGCATCACTTGTACTCGTGAAGTGGGCAGCTTGATAATTTTTTAAAAACAAATAGAAAATAAAAAACACTCAACAAAGCAGATCCTCAGAGGTTCTCATGATAGGTCCAAGCTTTGGAAAGGGACATAAACCAAAATAAATAATAAAAGAGGTTGACTGAGTCACACCATCAGCCACCCTTTCTTAGTTCTTCCTTAAACAGGAACATTTTTACTTAGCCCAGATTTTGAAAAGGGAAACTTGGTGGACTAGAAGACCTCCAAGGTCCCTTCCAACTCTTGTTAAAAACCTACCTGGTATGGAAGATGTTTCTTCACAGGTCCAAATCAGGAAAAGGAATCCCATCAGGAGCAAGAGTGGTACAGTAGCTACTGTCGGGATGCTTTCAGAGACCACTTTGGTGATATTATAGTGCATCGGATTCAGGATTTCCAGAAGCATTTTGTCCACAAGCAATCTGTTGGGCTGTGGGTGGAAAAGCAGAGAAAACTTCTAAGTATGGAAGAGGCCGAGCAGCTCCACAAGTCAGCTTCCACCAATATCTGTCTACCCTATTGTTGATCCTGCCACTTAATGAACCTGCTCCACGATTCGCTTTGTTTTATAACAAGGGCAGACCTTCAGATTAGGCGACACAAGCAACGTCAAAACAAAGAGTAGTGAAGATTCACTGGTCCTACAAACCAAAACATTTCTGACCTTGGCACGGAGGGCCCAGGTTGCTTTGCAAAAACTTCATGCCGGTGGAGTGTTCCTATCTCCCCCATTAACCTTGAATTGTCGTCATAAGGTAGACCTGGGAGATGGGGCTAAGGTTGTCATCAAAGCAAAAGAAATTAAAGTCGATGGTGAGCTGAAACCCCGACTCCGTCTTTTAGACCAGTTACTTTGAACATCTGTGGCTAGATTTTTGGAGAATGTCCTTGGATTTCTGAGACAGTCTGTTTCCAAGTCCATCTTCTGGGTGAGAAATACGGTAGACAGGATTAGTTACTCTAAGGCAGGGCTTTTCAACCTTTTCACCCATTGTGCCACTTTTAGGATATGGCAATATCCGAGTACCACCAGTCGCCTAGCAAAGTGTCAAAAACTTGATGACCAAAAAAAAAAAAAGGAAAAAAGTGATGAAGTACAGGTAGTCCTTGACTTACAACAGTTCGCTTAGTGACTGTTCGAAGTTACAATGGCACTGAAAAAAGTGCCCCCCAAGCCACAGCCGAGCAAGACACCTGCCTGCCCGCCCGGCGGCGCTCTTCCTCCTGTCTGAGGTTTTCACTGTTGTGAGCATTTCTGTTGAGGATTGGCAGCAGGGGTGGGGTGGGGGGCATCTGCTGGGCATCTGCTGGGCATCTGCTGGGTGGTTGCAGCAGGTTTTGGTCACTTCACATGACTCTGGGACACTGTGACCGTCATAAATATGAATCAGTTGCCAAGCATCTGAATGTAAATCCCAAGACTCTGGAGATGCTGCAACATTCCAGCTGATCGGCACTTCTTCTGGGCTCAGCAGAAGCACCAGGATCAGTGCCGAGCTCCAGCTGATTGGTGCTTCTTCAGGGCTCAGCAAAAGCACCAGGATCAGTGCTGAGCTCCAGCTGGAGCCTGGCGCTGATCCTGGCGCTTCCGCCAAGCCCTGGCAGCCCTGCAGCTCCAGCCATCTCTCGCTCAGGCTTGTGCGGTGCTGCCACCGGTTCAGCTCATTCCCCTCCCCCACTACCACTTTTCTAGGATGGTCGCATACCACCTGCCAGGTGCCAATGTACCACAGGTGGTACCCGTACCACTGGTTGAAAAGCCCTGCTCTAAGGCACTTCTTTGTAGCTTTTGCTCCGAAACTTAATTTATGGGGTAATTTGGATGGAAAGGAAGGCATGGAAAAAGGCTAGCTTAGATGCAGAATTTGTTCTTGCTCACGGAACAGGCTTCTGTTCATGTTATGTTTCCCCTCTTCTGTTAAAAGAAAGGGGAAGAGAAACATTCGTGATCACTTCTCCATAAATTAGATTTGCTAATTTCAAGAAATGTCATAGTCCGTTTCTAAGTTGTTGTTTTTTTTAAAATAAAAACTATAACAGTTCTCTAACCTGATGCCCTTAAATAGGTCCATTTTGGCTCCCAAAACCGACAACCTACCGTTAGATATAGGAGATTGTAAACATTAATGTTGCTATGGTCTTTCTTATCCTTTGATCTATGGCCCTAATTATCAGTGGAGAAGGAATCAAATTCTCCGACCATTTCACTGCTTCAGGAATGTCTGCAATGCAGGGCAGCAGCCAAGGGCACATCCCAAGAAAAATACACAAGAAACAGACACTGGCAAGCGTGTACATGATGCCTGGTGATGAAACAGAGAAACGACTCTGGCTGGGTGTGCTTCAGACAAGCAAAATCATCCGTGTTTGGCTTGGAGAAAGTTTCAATTGCTGGTTATTTATTTTATCACTCTGGCTTTTGAGTTGCGAGAAAGGCAATTCCAAAGAACGTTTATGACAGAAAAATGAATGAAAGGTTATGGAATGATATAATCGAAAGTGGCGCATGAGGTGTGCCGATGCTACAAGAGAGACCTAGCTCATACAACTTGCTGAACCTCAAGAACAAGGACGATGGGATGCTTTTAAGGCTCAGCCTGAACGGATGAAACTCATTATATGTTGATAAGATCCAAGGGGTTGGACTTTCAACCAGTGGTATGGGTACCACCTGTGGTACATTGGCACCTGGCAGGTGGTACGCGACCATCCTAGAAAAGTGGTAGCGGGCGAGGGGAATGAGCTGAACCGGTGACAGCACCGCACAAGCCTGAGCGAGAGATGGCTGGAGCTGCAGGGCTGTCAGGGCTCAGCGGAAGCACCAGGATCAGCGCTTCTTCGGGGCTGTCAGGGCTCGGTGGAAGCGCCAGGATCAGCGCCAGGCTCCAGCTGGATCTCGGCACTGATCCTGGCGCTTCTGCTGAGCCCTGAAGAAGCACCAATCAGCTGGAAAGCAGCACTGATCCTGGCACTTCTGCTGAGCCCTAAAGCACCAATCAGCTGGAAAGCAGCACTGATCCTGGCACGTCTGCTGAGCCCAGAAGAAGCGCCGATCAGCTGGAATGTTGCAGCATCTCCAGGGTCGTGATTTACATTCAGATGCTTGGCAACTGATTCAAATTTATGGTGGTCACAGTGTCCCAGGGTCATGTGAAGTGACCAAAACCTGCTGCAACCACCCAGCAGATGGGGGGAATAAAAACCAAACACCCCCCCACCCCACACACCCCGCCAATCCTCAACAGAAATGCTCACAACAATGAAAACCTCGGACAGGAGGAAGAGCGCCGCTGGGTAGGAAGGCAGGCGTCTTGCTCGGCTGTGGCTTGGGGGGAACTTTTTTCAGTGCCATTGTAACTTCGAACAGTCCCTAAGCGAACTGTCGTAAGTCGAGGACTACCTGTACTTCATCACTTTTTTCCTTTTTTTTTGGTTATCAAATTTTTGACACCTTGCTAGGCGACTGGTGGCACTCGGGTGTTGCCATATCCTAAAAGTGGTACAATGGGTGAAAAGGTTGAAAAGCCCTGGACTAGAAAACCTCCATGGTCCCTTCCAGACCTATGATTCTATGATTCAAATGACAGTCACATGTCCTGTGTTATAGAAGGTGGTCATCAGCTTCAAAAGCTGTCCAGGAGTAACCTTTTCCTGGAGGAGATGTTGAGTTTCAGCCTGAAGACAATGAAACTGATAAGGAGAAAGTCGAATCTGAATCTGAGGGCAGTAGAACCGATAAGAAGGAAGCTGTGTCTGAAGCTGAAGCCGGTGAAACTGATCTGGAGAAAGCTGAACTTCAGGAGATTAGATAGAACACCTAATGTACGTCATACATAGTCACTGAGCTATTGAACTGCAGGGCAGTTCCCTTGCAGAGGCAGTACCATATCTCATTTTTATTTTGACTATAATGTTTTGAGATTGGCCTCACATCTTTGGCAGGACATTTCCAAACCTGCATCCTGCCCTCTGCAGAAATGTCACCTTCAAATGGACTGTCCTCCATCAAGGGGGACTCTAGATTGCCCTGTAATAACAATAATAACAAAATAGGAAGATGAGGTTAAAGTTTACTCTGAAAGCATGTAACAATTAGAAAGACGACAAATGTAAGTGTGAGCTGCAGCTAAGAGGATACTTCTGTCTCATTGGAAAGTTTGAATTAAAACATGCCTGTATACATGTCCTATATACCAGAATAACAGAGTTGGAAGCGACCTTGGAGTCCAACTCCCTGCTCAGGCAGGAAACCCTATACCAGTGATGGCAAACCTTATAGAGACCGAGTGCCCAAACTGCAACCCAAAACCCACTTATGCATCGTTGAGTGCCGGGTGGGTGTGGCCCATTGGGTGGGCGGGGCCCATTGGGTGGGCGTGGCCACGGTGGTAACGGCAGACTGGGTGTGACTAAAAAGTTCAATCAATCAATTCCAACTTTACAAGACCTTTTTTCTTCCTGTGAGAAGTTAAAATTGACTGATTGAACCTTTTTTTTTCTTTTGCACACGGTGGCGGAGGCCTAAAGCGAAAAAGTTTTATAAAACCCAGCTGAAGGCCGAGGACTGGGGCGACGGCACGTGTGCCCACAGAGAGGGCTCTGAGTGCCGCCTTTGGCACCCGTGCCATAGGTTCACCATCACTGCCCTATACCATTTCAGACAAATTGTTGTCTAATCTCTTTTTAAAAACTTCCAATGTTGGAACACCCACAATTTCTGGAGGCAGGTTGTTCCACTGGTTAATTGTTCTAACTGTCAGGAAATTTCTCCTTAGTTCTAGGTTGCTTCTCCCCTTGATTAGTTTCCATCCGATGCTTCTTGTCCTGCCTTCAGGTGCTGAGAAATCAGAATATCAACTTGAAAGAGAAGAGACAGGACAGCCACTTGTCTGAAATGGTACAGGGTCTTCTGCTTGAGCAGGGGGTTAGACTAGAAGACCTCCGAGGTCCCTTCCTACTCTGTTGTTCTGTTCTGTTAACTGGAGTTTCAGCAATGTTCAAGAAAGTCTGGCTAATATAACCCTGTGTGGTCAAGACTTAATTTTGTTATTTAAGGTCTAAATTGCCACTGTCCAAATGCAAATCCACACATGTGGAAGTCGTTATTTAGCGGCAAAAACAATTTAATGGCCAGTTTCCCCTTGCCTTAGGAAGACTTGGAAATGACTCACTCGCTCCTCAAGACGGAGTGTACCTTTTTATTACATCTGCATTCAAAGTAATGTCAGAAAATTTCATAGAAACGAACCAGATCTACAGTATGTTGACAGAGCAGGTCTGTCCTCTGCTTCATGTACATTTCCTATCACAATTTCTTGATGCTTGACGAAACCAGCCCATATCTAGGAGATGACACAACTGCCCCTTTTCTTCAAGAAAAAAGAAACCCTACACAATATTGAGATATGGAGAGAGATGGGTGTGTTTGTGGGTGTGG